GTATCTCAAAGGTTTCATGACCATTATTGCCTACGTCGAATACAGCCCTGAATCGAAGTCGAATGAGTGGGTGCAACTNNNAAATCTCTGGAGAAATCTGGACCGTTCTGAACTTCCGGTAGCATCACGACATGATGGCATTTTTGACCTCCTACTTTCAAACGGTGTTGTAAACAGTAAATATATTTTGATGTGAATCGTATTTCAAAGGTTCCATGACCGTTATTGCCTGCGTCGAAAACAGCCCTGAATCGAAGTCGAATGAGTGGGTTCAACTCAAAAATTCAGAACTAATTGTTGGCAATTGCTTAATCTTTCTTTATTTATTACACACTTTCACCTGGATCTTTATTTATGTGGGATCAGTCCCCCACTATTTCACCTGTCTCATTATCCCCATAAAAGTTATTGAACAACAACTAGGCATAGGAGCATGGATGGAGTAAGCCCTATCGTCCACCGTGACCGTACAGCTCCGAAAGAAAAAACTGACAGGGAATTTCGTCCATGACGTCCAGAACTCATTTCGAGTACCAGGTTTGAGTATTTAGGTATATCTAACTCTTACTCTTATATTTTTGATTACCAAGTATAATTTTGATTACATACATGCTACGTTGTTTTTCAAATATTTACAAAAGGTTTCCAAATCCTTTCTGGTGCTGACAATCGTCCTCCTCAAGTATGTATGATAGAGAACTCTATTTTTCATCAGAAAAAGCGGTGTCTCAGATTCTTCCTGTTTTTCTATTTAATTATTTATTTATTTGTTCTTGGTTTTGAGGTTTTCAAGGTTTCAAGGTGATCATACACCAACATCAAAATCAAAGCTTTTTATGTCTTTGAATTTTCCGTTGTTTGATCATCAGAGGCCTTTTTGTCCGGGTTTCTCGATCTGAGCACTCGTATGGAAAGCAGTTAATTAGGCTCTAATTGGAATGTGTGGCTTCTTGAAGGCTTGTCTTTATTGCCATTTGCCAAAACAACAAATGGTCTGGCAGTGTCACAAGGATTACTAGAACTGGATGCGATTGTACGTATGTATGTATGGGTATGTGGCGTCATTTCCAGGGGCAATAGTCAAATCGAATTGTTCCCACATTGCCCACACTACTCCCCATTCATTCTGTTGTTTACAATGAAACTCTGAGAGTGATATCACCCCTACAACGACCCCTTTTGATCGTCTATGGTCACCAGTTTTTCCAATTTCTACTTCCTACTTGATTCATTTTGGCAATTTCAATCCTGTTTAGCCACCCTTTGCTAGATGCTACCCACTAGTTTTCGTTTTTTATCTGCCCAGTCGATGATTCATTATAACGAAAGTGATTTTGTCGCGACTGTAGCCCTCGTTTTCTTTCCTCTCAACCTTCTCTGGAGTTTGCTCCATTCCGCCCACATTGACCCCTTACGCCAAAGCTGTAGGGCCATTCATGTTGTCGTTACCTCGAAAAAGGAAAATCTAATACAAAGTAAGGCCAACTCATCAAGTCAACACTCCGAGAGCGACATCCTCACCTAATCCGCGTGAACTTCCAGTGTTTTCGGCCAGTGCCCTTCTCCGTTGAACAACACCCCCTTCTCACATGATCACCCCTCTTCGGCTTACTTCAGTACTTTTTCACCGAAATTGATTTGGAATTTGGTTCGAAATTGACTGTCCTCAGCGAATACTTTAACAACCAACATATCCAAAACGGCCCTTTTTTATTCCGAGGCGCATCGGACTTCTTGGAGTCTAACTAAGTGCTTTATTCCGTTGGTGATATCACTGAGCAGAAGTGAAACAAGCGACGACGTTATAGTGGCTGAGCGTAGAGTCTAGGAAACATATGAGTTGGTTCAAGGATATTCAATTGTTTCATCGGGAGAGCATGACTATTCATCGTGATATCACTCTATCAGGGCGGAAGTGATGTATTTAGTGTCAAGGGGCTCACTATCACGTACGCATGGGCTGGGATCGGGTTCCAGATCAATGTTCGCCTATGCCAGCCATGTCTTCCATGCCTCCATGATCGGTCATTTAGTATTAGACTTGCCTGAAATGATGAAAGCACTAACTCCTACATTGGCTGGGCACCACAGAGTCCTTGTACACACCACATACGCATTCAAAACACTACTGCAACTCCGAATGAAAGTGGAATGCAGAGCATGTCTCGCAAATGGGACTGATGCACGCTAAGGGACTCTAGCCCTTTGTCCCTTACCGATCTTTGCCTTTCTGTCACGTCTGTTTTGTTGGTGTCTGTTCCAGTAGAACACCCCTTTGCAGTGTTACAGTCTGATCCTCGCTGCATCACCTTCTTCGTGGTCATATTACGCGTCGAAGGGCCTCTTCTCAAGTACGATGTCCTTTGAAAATTTTCAAGCAAATGTGCAAAGATGTTAAACAATTATGCAAATAATTAGGGCGGAGGTGGTGTAGTGGCAAGTGGCGCACTCTATCACACGCACGGTCAGGTGATCGGATCCCGCATCGATGCCCGCCTAGGCCAACCAAGCCCTCGATCCCTCCGGGGTCGTTGAATTGGTACCAGACTCGTCTGGGGGGATAAAAACACTGACTTGTACATCGGCTGGCTACCCCAAGTCATTGTATGGTCATTCGATACGCCACTACGATTCTGAATGGAAGTCGAGTGCGGGGGCGCATCCCTCAGACGGATTGATTAACGCCAAAAACTTTATTCTTTCCATTTACTTTTACAGATTATTGAATTTTCTTCAACTTTGTATGAATTTTTCAGAAAAATACTTGACGTACTAGTTTACTTGATGTTTAGTTTACAGTTCAGTTTACAGTTTTAAGTCACAATTTGTACGGAAAACAAACGTTTTTATTTGACAAATAGACGTAGTTCGGCACTATCGTACCTAGCACAGCCACTGATCCACGTGTTACAAACATTCATATTACGATCCAAAAAATGCCTGAAATACAGGGATACGTGGTTTGCGTAGGTGATATAGAGAAATAAGAGCTGCCAATCTAATAGGAAAGCAATTTGGATGCAGATACAATTTAATTGAACGAATGAACTGAAATGATTTCGAAATGCAGCGCACACAGTATCATTAATGAATCTATTCATTCAGTTCGGTAGAATTGCCATTCTGTTCATTACAGTGAGAAAAAATGTTAGTCGTCATAGAGAATAGGTTTGTGACGATCGTATAACTTTTTCCGTTGCGGCCTTTTTATCCAGATTCCCATCAACGACATCAGGTCATTAGAGCCCCATTCCATTTATTAGACTAGTCATGATCCGTCTAGCTTAAGCTGCAGNTCGAATACTGCCAGTGTGTGGTCATTCATGGCTAGTTGTCCTGCTTTGCAGCATTCTGTTTGGGACTCCTTGAATGAAAGTTTCCCAGAATCAGGTACAAATCGTGCTAGACTCTGTTTAGAAAAAGTAATCTCCATAGGGTACCCAAGAAGCCCACAAGCAGGGTCGACGCTCTTTTTCCAGGGGCTCGACGTCAGGCTATTGACGGAAAGCCTATTGACCGGACTACGACACGAAAGTAGTGGAACCCAATTAGGGTTGAAACAACGGCACGACGAAAAGAGTCGAAATTTGATACACTCCCACGGGAAAGTGTTTTTTGAGTTGACGTCGAAAAATGCCCTCGACCTAATTATCCCGTCAACATTTTTATAGTCATCGCTCCCTAATGTCTGTTCTAGGAGCTGTCAGGAATCAGAAGATGGGATTAGTATGTCTTCATCTTCTTGTAGAACAGTTTTTTGAATGTGGGGCTTTGATCCCATAGAAGGAAGTTCGAAGTGATCGCACAGGTGGGACGTGAACCTACACCTCCCTAATGGGAACTTCAATATCTCCTATTCTCTGACAGGAGATAATAAAGATGATTAGGTAGAGGAATGAACATTATGTTCCAGTGATGCCATTACTTCTGTTTCTCTTCCATGTCATCAAAGTTCTCTTTGCTCGTTGAACGGAATCTGAGCTCATCCTCTGGCTTTGTCATCTGTAGGGTCGGTAGAATCACAGAATTGAGGTCAGTTCTCGAACTCTCACTTCCTTACCCCTCAGATCGTGCTGATGGGTAAAGCAGCTATCCCAGGGGTTCCAGGAAGTCATTCATGAGCAGCGGAGTTCTGAACAAAAACCTTTGGGAAAATTTTCTAAGACATTTTTGTCAGATTTTCCCCGTTCGTTGGCACCGCTTTTCGGAATTCTTTTTTATAAATTTTTTATTTCTGCTTAAACAGCTTGTCGTCACTTACTTTGTATTAACTTTATGAACTATGTATTGGCGAGACCTTTTCAATTATTTTCGTGGGAACAGTTGTCTTCGAATAATTTTTAAGAAAACAGAAGATTATTTAGACTGTTATAGACGGTCTTGTTAAGCAGTTCCCCTCTGCCTGTCTTTTACTTCAAGTTTTTCTTCCAACTATCTCCACTATTTGATTATTTTATGTGATCGTTCCCATAGGGTCTGCTCCAACTGATCGTTCGTCTCTGTTGTTACTTCCATCGTTTTCTCCGATTTCCGTTTCCAAACATATCCCACAGCTATCAACTCTCCTACCTAGCAATGATTGCCTGGTTAGCCCAGTAAACACTCCCTTGGGTATGCATGTAGCCGTTCAGCCTCATCGAGGAATCTTTTCTAATTTTACTTGCTAGTTGCGAATTTTTCTGACCAAAGGAAATTTGATACTCATGGGATTGAGTGCTCGTTTCCCATTTGGTCATGAAAACCCCCCACGAAAAACGAGAAGCAGCAGAAAAATGTAGATGAGTCCGATGAGCACCATCTGGGTCACAAATCAGCTTGGAGCAACAAACTTTTGAGGAAATCGAACTCTCTGGCTGTTCTCTTTGGATTTCGGGAACTGTTTTCTGAAAAAATGCCAGCTATTTCACTTTCCGCTCTCATGAACTTTTGTGGTCGGACTTGAATCTCCACGCGATGTCAACATTTTAATTAATTTTTTAAATTTTCAACTTCGTTTTCAGATGTTACCAGCATCGAATTCCGATGATTTCCCCCCACCACCACTTTCTGGAAAAGCTTTTGCGCAAACTGCAATACCGTACTCGATACTGTTTGTTATTGGAATACTAGGAAATACGGCTGTTTTGGTATATGTCTACTTCATCATCAAGTAAGTCATCATGACGACCATGGTCTCGAACCATATGTCACTCCTGAGCCAACTATCTATGGCTTCCCAGTAGGTGGTGTAGCTGAGGTATTACTAGGTGGTGCATTATGATACGCGTGATTCTAAGGTTGAATTCTGGTTTCGTAGATGCCTAAGCCAATCAACCTTTTTAGCTCTCCGGGAATGGCCAAGGCTGGTCAATTGGTACCGGACTCGATTTGGAGGATAAACCGGTGATCAGCGGCAGCATCCCATAAGTTGTCAAATAAGCTCCATACGCATTGAAACAGCTTTTCAATTTTCGGGTGAACTTGGATGCGGAGTGCACTCTAAAACGAGATAAATCCATTTTCTAGAATTCACCCTTCACTATTTTACTTGACGGTTTTGTAGGGGCTAGATTGGAATTTCCAGGATTTCCTGCTAAAAAATGCAAACTCTTCTGGCAACAAAACATCGATGACTGAATGGGTGGAATGAACATTTATTCGCTCTAATCACGTCTTAAATACTGTAGTAAAGGCTGAATTTAGAAAAAAACCTCATCCTGGCACTTTCGATGCTCCAATCTAGAATTCAAATCTTTCGCACTTTGTAAATGTAGAATGGTTGTTGATAAAAATGAAAGGAGATTTGGAAAAAGGGTCTTTGAAGCTCACATGCCTTCGAAGAAACCCTCAGAAATAGAATATCCTCTCCGTGTACTAGGCAATTTAGAATGAAATCATTTACTTTTTTTCGTTTTCGACATTTTTCGTAGAAATTATTTCCACGTCTTCATTTCAGTGAAAATTACTGTGAAATGGTCTTTGTTCGTGTTGCGAATTTCTCCCGTAGCACGCTTTTTCCCACGATTGTCATAAGTTACTTGCTTACTCATACTCCGTAGTAACAGTGAACAAATTAATCAGTGCATTTTGAATCCACCTTCTTTGAATGTCATGTGGTAAGGGGAATTCTGGGACTGCAAACTACGAACCTCGCTCATTTAGGATGGCGTGAGTTGTTTTCACTTCGTGGATTCGTTGACCAATGAGTAGGGATTCAGTAATAGGAAAAGTACATACATGCAAATAAGCTAACCATTCATCGTGGATGTTACTTAATTCAAAGTACGAGTCGCGATAATTCTATAAGCCCCTAAATGGATTACATGGCGAGAGTGTTGATGCAAAGTAGTTCATGGGTGGCCAAGAAAACGAGAAAATTTGCAAAATTTCGGAAAAATAAGGTTTTTCTTGAAGCGATGTTTTTTAAGGATGGAAAGGTCATACTATTATCGTAGAAAGATGCTCGGACGAGATTGCAGTTCCAGCGAAATCACTCGTGTTGGCTATCAGCTGACTACTTTCGCAGCAGACGTGCTCCATTTTAAATGTTATGATCCTTAGCGACGCCGCTAAAAACGTCCGTTCTTGGGTGTAGTTAGCAGCAGTAAGTGATGAGGGCGGTTTTTGAACCTTCAGACTGCCCTATGTGGAGCTGAACCGTCGAGCTGCCCTATGTATTCCGTTCCCAGACCCGAAAATCACTAATTTGGCTTTACTCTGCAGATGTGCACATTTTTGCGAATTGAATTGACCATCAATCATTCTTATAGCGATGTGCGGCTTTCAACGAGGGCTGTGGAATCAATCCGATGAATAGAGGAACGAGAGGAAGGGGATATATTCAGTACAGGAGTATACGAGAGTTTTAATATCAAGTTCCAGGTCTCTGAAATCGTCGGTGACTGCGCTTGGCAACACATTTGTTTACGTTGTGGCATTATGCGCTGTCGACCTGCTGGTTACGGTCTCAATACCGTTTTCATTATCGAATACAATACTTAATAACTGGGTGTTTGGTGTATTCGGATGTAAATTACATTGGGCGGTCGAGCTCTCCAATAAGGTGAGACCATTTCTGCTGATCTTTTCAACTGTGAAGTTTTTAAGCTGGCACATGGCTTTTATTTTAAATGTTCCCAATTTGATCCACTTCCTTTTCATAGTTTTTCTCAAACTTGCAATTTTTCTCTTCCTAATTACAAAACCCAATTTTAATGCCATCCAATAAATTAATGGCACAAAACAGCACCTAAAACCAATTAAATTCATATACTGTCACGCCCTTCTTTAGATGTGCTCGACATTTATTCTAACGGCTCTAGCTTTTGATAGATATATGGCCATATGTCATCCAGAGAATAAACGGGTATGTTTTTGAAGGAGTTGAGCATGAGAATACGACATTTTTTTCCTTTGTCAATTATTTTAATAGTTATAGGGATTGCTATTATTGAAATTGGCATTTGCATTGATGAAATAATTAAGCAAAAGCTGTGTATAACTATTAAGGAAAGGGCAAAACCCTAAACTGCAACGAATTTGGATGCTTCTAAGGGCTTATAGGGGTTCACATCAAATGAGTGTCAGGTTGTGGTGCGAGTGGTAGACAACTATCAAAGATAATCCGCTGAGATGTGTTGCTTAGCGGGACAACTAGATAGGAATCTCCACGTGCTGTTAGCGAGCTCTTGGAATCGCCCAGCAAAACCGCTACACATTTTGATCCAGCGAGTGAGCGGGATAGAAGGAGGGCATATGTAGGTCTAGGAAAAGAAGCTGTTGAAGACGAGCTAATTACTTGATTCTTCAGTTTTCAATTTTTTCTCATATGTGACTTTGTTACGATCATGTAACTTCAGTTTTTTTTCAGGTTCATCAAATGAAGCAGACCATAGCGATTACGATCTTCTTAGCGTCTCTATCGATAGCGCTCATTCTGCCAGTAGTGATTTCAGCAACTGTACGATCTTTCACGGGTCTCGGATACTATATCTCTCAAGATGAGGTGGTTTGTCTATTTGTATCGATAAATTCAGTAGGTAAGGAGGCAATGGACCAGAATCCCTTGTTTGGAACAGGATATTTCATCCTCATTTTTCGTGGTACAATGATCTATGGGAGGAAGTATACGTAGAATTCAACGATTTCGATTTCTCATACGAATTTTAGTTCCTCATTTCATCATGGTGACCTCTATTAATCAGAAAATAACTAGTCTGAGAGGATTCTAAACTAAGATCCGATCTCTGGGTAATAGGCGTAGTAGGGTCGCCATACGGCACTGCCGTGCTACCTCCATTGATGGCAATCGAAAAACCTTTTTCAGGAGAAGCACAGTGTCGTCAAATACATGTGCGTAGACGGAATGCGACGTGATGTGAAATTGCTCGTCGTCGGCTTTCTGCTCGTATTTGCCTTTATCTTACCTTGCACACTTATTACATTTTTCTATACGAATATCATTATTCGACTACGTCGCCAACAAAGGTGAGGGTCCCGAAACGATTGTCTCTAGATTCATCAGACTTTTCAAAAATTCTTATGGTTGGGAAGGAAGTTTTTAAAAGGGAACACTCATTAAAGCGATTCCGGTGGTTCAATTTTAAGCCACCGTGCAACCACAACACACTGTCAACGAAGTCAACTTTATCCCCTCAAACTTGGGCAATTAAACCCAAAGTACAATCCTAAGGAGCAGTAACACTAACATGAGTCGCCCAACAATAAAAGAGATCCCAATAATCAGGAACCCGGGCAAATGGAGTAAGGCACTATAAAGAAAGGCCCCTCATTCGAGAAGTATGATAATATAGCGCATATATGTGATGCTTAGAAAATAAAGGAGAAATCGCAAACACACAGATGCACATGCATCCTAGAGGAAAACTGACGTTCCAGCGCAGCCAGCGTACTTATACGATAATTTGCCTTGTATTGCATTTGCATTTGCCTCACACGATTAAGCTGATAAGCGCAGAATACTGAAACATTCCCGGCAAAACAAACCCGTAACGAGATGGGAATAATGGATGCTCTGGGAAAGATGAATCACAAGTATCACGGCCTAATCGCGATATTAAAGTTGGGGGAAGTGCGACCAATTCATAAGCTGACTTTTTATGACAGCTTTGCAAAGGTTTTCTATCATTTTCAATTTAGGACCATGTCACAATCGCGTATTCCAGTGCGGCGGATAACAATTTATACGCTGGTCGTGACATTGTTCTATTTGTTTTGTCAGATACCATTTTGGTTACCACAAATATACGGTATCGCGTGCATGGTATTCGGATGTAAAATTGGTTCAAGCTACATAATTTTGACGGTGAGCTTAAACTTTTTCTGGAGGGTTTTCAGGGTTTATAGTCGCTTATCAAATCAAATTTTAAAGCAAAATCTACGAATAACTCTACTACGTTTTTATCCTCAATCCCTGTCCTCTTGAGAGTGCGCCTAGCACTTACCATCTATTCAGATTTGTAAGGTTCCATAAACAAATGTTTTGTTTGTACATTGACTTTTGAGATCGGCTGATGTAGAACTCAGACCAACTTGATGCCTTTTCACTTCATCTTTAGTAGTTATTGGGCGGGAGAGGTGCGCGGAGGGTTCTTAATAGGAAGTAAGTGCATGGCGCGCTCCCAGGCTGGGACCTCTACATTACTGACCAATTTCTCGTTTGTAATTTTTTATCTTTCTGCCGAATTATTGCACGTTAGTATCCATACCATTATAATCATGGATTATTTAGTACTATTCTCACTTATTCCCATTTATCTCTGCGGCTATCAATTGGGTTTTCTACGCCCGTCTCAATAGCCAGTTCAAAAAGGGCCTTGTACTTGTTACTGAACGATTGATACGGAAGCGAACCAGGTAATCAAATTAAGCTACATCACTTGGAAGTATAACATTTGGTAGTTTTTTCTACAAATTTTTGAGTTCTTCTCAACTGAAACCCTGCTGTTTTTAAGATCGGCCCAAAACGGAGCTTCTCGAGAGCGGGACCACGATGACTTGGCTTTGGATCTGATTTCGAGGATGGATGATGTTGTGGCGAAGTGTCCAAATTGTGAAGTGAGGATAAAGTAGAACAATGCTCAACGAATCCGTTTTTGGTTAATAGCGGTTTACATCTTGGACTCGGCGGCCAGCCAGTCCGAAGTCGAGGATTGATCATGAATCGCTAGTAAGATGCGATTTGTGGTAGAAAATCTGATTTCTATTGCTTGTCTACCTTCTGAATCCGACTTCGAAGGATTATTGCTCCATACTCAGGGATGACTGTAGGTAGGTCCGGACGGAATGCTGCGGGCTAGCCAACTGCCTGGAAATATGTGGAATCCCCTTGAATGGCTCAGAACCGTAGCAGAGAGCTTTCAGAGAATCGCTCTGAGCTAGCTGAACCTACATACATTTTTAACAAATTCCTATCAGACAATTCCTCTCCTCCTCCTTCCCTCCTGTTATGTCATGACGACCCCTATCGTCTGTTTCTTCCTGCTTCCCTTTTCCCCTCTATCATCTTCTCATCTTCTGATGGAGAGGAAAGGCGTTAGTGGTTGGTGGTTAACGGTAGATTAAGAACATAACTTCAAAAAGAATAAATGGGCAAGCCTTTCTCCTTCAAGGAAAATCGTGTTAGACCGGTCCAGAAGAATACTCAGAAACCCAGCATCCAAGCCCTTCTCATGTGGAATGTGCCTTTGTGATTCAAGTAAGCATGGACAAAGTTTTGGTGTTGACTAACCAGGTCCTGGGTCGCTCTTCGGATTCGACTTTCTTTTGAATTTTCCTAATAAGGGAAAAAACAGCAAACATTGTTTGTTTCAGGCACAACTGATATTGAAGCAGGGCAATGGTCAAGCGCTCTCGTTATCTGTGCCATCATGAAGAATCTTCTTCAACATTACTCGCCGTTTTGTTTTATCGTCGAACACAAAGTGTTCATGAATTCTCCATCAAATGGAGCCCCTTTCCAGTTTAGAAGATCTGTTGTACTGTGCTTCGCAAGCTTTTATATGGTACAGCCATTCTCTAGTCGAAAAATTATTTAAAGGCACAGTTCACGATAATTTTATTGTTAAGGTACACGTTTTTATTCGAAAAGAGGAAGTATAGATTGTGAATAGTTCATCGGCAGTGAAGAAGGCNTAGAGGTTGGACGAGATTGCCATGATAGAAATAACATTGAAGGGGTATTCGAACGAGATTTCAGTTATTGCAATTGCACAAAGAGCTGACTACTTCAAGCTAGAACTGTAGGGAACTGTCTTTCACTGTCGCTATGGATCATGACAAGTTATTTGAATCTCCTACATGGGCTCCCTTGTGAGCGGTGCAGTCTCTAAATGCCGGTGCAACTCGTCCGAGGACCCACCTCAGCCAATGTTTGAGCCTTTACACCTCCTTTGCTAGGCCGTTTTCGACTCAATAGTTCCAGATATGGTATACGCAGGGGCCTCAAATTCATCCAGTGGGGGAACCTCAGAAACCATGTTTATCGTGAACTGTGCCTTTAATTTTTATGTCCTGAATGAAGCTGCTTTGAGTACCGATTCACTTTCTTGTTAGCTGATTTGATTTGCCGGCTGAAAGGACCTACTGCAATAGGTGATACTAGACAAGTTTCTGAGAATTTTGTTCGTCAGTCTATTCAATTTCGTAGAAATTGTTCTAGGATTGCAAGAAATTTCTTGTACGAATTTTGGCTAGTCGTTAATAATTTCATAGTTGTCAGCCATATCGATCAAAGGCGCAGTTCGCGATCAAACTGCATGATGATATTACATGGGGCACTCCGAGAAGTGGTTTAGAAAAAGCACAAAGCGGGCTCAAAACCGGTCCCGATATCCATTGCCATTTAATGTTCCTAAAAAATACGAGTTCAGGGGGCTTTGTAAAGGCTGATGTGATTTAGAATGGAGCGCGCTTGGTGTAAGTGCATTCAGCTTTACACCAGCACATGCTGCAATGCAGCGACTGAAATCTCCTCCGCATAGTTTTTTGACGTTTTTCTCCAAATTTAGAAATGACTAGCCCAGAAAGGCTTTATATTTTGAATTTTCAAGCATTACCCTCTTTTTTCGCTGGTGATCGACTACTTTGCACTCGAAACTGACCTACAGAGGTGAATGAACTCATCACGAACCGTGCCTTTGAGTAGTATAACTATTCGTTAATGTAGGATCGGAATCTTCCCCATTGACATTCAAGTACCGTATTGATGATGATAATGAACTTTCTTAGAACAACTACAAGCTTCGTAGAGTTCACTGTCCAATCTATCACTGTCTCACTGCTTTCCTGTATGTATTTCATCTTGATGCGCTTGAATTTCCTCTATGACTATTAGTACTGTGTTGTATTTGTTTGTGATTGGTATTTATTTGTTTATTTAATTGTTTAAATGTACAACAGAACTGCTATACGATTCCATCGTTCCTGCTTGCGGGACATCATTAAACATTCTGCATTGTTTTGGAGTATTTCTACAATGTTCTTATGTCATTGGCATTGAATATGTCTGCTTAGAATACCTACAATTACATTTTCAAAAAAACACTCGAAAAAAAATCTCAAAAAAATGCTCCAAAAATAGGGATTCAGGGGTCTGAACAGCTTGGACCACAACCCGCTTTTTCGAGTGTTTTTTATTCTGCAAATCCAAATTTTTTATGGGCACTGAATGTTCGTAGTGTTTGTAGAATATCTGGGTTTCAATAAAGAGCCCGAGTAGTGGGAGCGCTTATTCTTCCTCCGACGAAGACGTCCCGTTCAATGGAAATGTCATGGGAAGCTCCGCAGCATTTTCAGGTAGGCCCTCTTTCTGATCCTAGATATCACGGAGACAAGAAGCTTTGGGTATTTTAAAATTATGCTCCCTTGAACCCTGGTGATGATTCTGATGAGAACAGACAGACACTCAGACACTTAAACAACTTTGTGGATACGTCACAGGAAATCGCTTTGGGGATTATTCAAGGATCAACGAAGTCTGAATAGAAAACAAACTGCACGCATAGTTCACCTAAATGCTTTGCATTCACCTTGAACGAAGATCATCAGACCGGAAAGAGAGCTGCAGCTTAGGACAATAGATTTTGCTTGCATCACAGAGCTGCTGAGTCATGGGAAGAGTCCTTGGTCTGGAAATTAGTCCGAGAGTTCTTTCCAAGAATGGTATTAGAATTCAACCAAGGGTATATAAGCTTGCTCGGAAGCTTATTTTCCAGCTTACCTTCTTTGTACATACTATAAACCTTTTCTAGCACCAGTAATGAAATCAGCTTTTCTTACATTTTCGATTACTGTAGCTCGCATGTGCTGAAAGAATTGTGTTTTACTCATCCATATCCTGAACTCATCATCCGGTGCACTAGACCGGTAAAATTATTTGAAGAAGCGATACAGTAGTGTACCGAAAATTATTTAAAAATAAAGGGTAAAGTCATTGGTGTCAATCAATCCGGTTTTTGGGATGGGATGCGGGTTGGTATGCGCCCTACCTCCCACTCTCACCCAGAATCGTAGGGGCGGTTTGAATGCGTACGTGGCTTATGCAATAACTTGTAGTGACCAGCCTATCTACACTTTAGTGCTTATACCTTCCCAGACGAGTTGGTTCCAGTAAACCAACCTTAGAAGGATGGAATCTCTTGTAGGCCTGGGCGAATAATGGTCCGATCACCAGGACCATGCGTTTGTGGTAGCGCTCCTACTTGCCCTACACCACCCTCATCCGGTTTAAATTAATAGTAACCTAAAATGAATGTTAAACACAAAACAAAATTGTTGTTATCCAGCTCTTTCAAGTGAGCATGCGTGCCTCATTAGGTAAACAAGGTTCCAATCGGTAGTTGTGTACTATGGGCGCCACACTTTCAATCATTACCCTGTATCGTTTGCTCGAACTTACGGTAGCCATTTTTACAGTACCCCAGCAAACAAGTTGAATTCTGCCATGAACTCTGATGTCTATGTCAGATACGGTACATAATCCATTGTGAGTGACAAAAATTGTGGTCAATTGCTAACGTACTCATATGATATCATATGAAGCAAAGTTGAAAGTCATTTTGTTTATTATTTATGATTTAGATGTTTATGAATTTATTTGAAATCTTCAAAATAGAATAGATGGAAATCGAAAAAAATAATAGGATCAATAGTACTGCTACGTTTTTGAGCACTTTCCACATGCCTTGATTTCTATATTTTGAGCCCTTTTAGGTCTATGACTAATCCTGATACAAATTACGGTAGCCTCAGATGTAATCTCTGATTCAGACGGCTATTTATGAATTATACGGTAACATGAGTAATCATCAGAATAATGCACCTTTTATCCCTGATTAACAAGCGAAAGCGAGTAATTCGGTAAAAAATAGCCAAAAAATCGTAATTCTGTGTGAATGTGCGTAAATCTAATGAGTAACCTGCTCTGCAAATTATTTTTAGGTTGCTTTGAAAATTATTTTGCTTTGAATCATTTCTCTACAGATGAATATAGGATCTTGCTTGAATAGGTTTTCGTGTTCGTTATAACTCTAAATTACTCAGAAATATTTAATATTAACTCTAAATTACTCAGAAATATTAAATATTAATAACATTTATTTATAACTATAATTTTATAGTTAATTGTGAATCGCGGCGATGATAAGTACATAGTAAGCAAATAAATTATCGGAAGCATATGGTGAAGTTAAAGAGGTCATGGAAAAGCCCAAAAGATAAAAATCGGATTTCCTTCAAAAAATGACCTCTTTCCTCTTAGCTCCTTTGGTGGAAAATCCCTGGTTCCACGAATAAAATCGAATTTTTGTGTCTTCAGATTTGACCTGATGGAAATTATTAGTAGGCGCTCCCTTTACTATTAATTGTCTAGAGCCGTGTATCTTCAAAAAAATTTCCTTTTTTTCTATAATCTCATTAAGATTTTCTACTTGAACAATTCATATTTTCGATAGAAGAAATGTTTATTAGGTCCGGGGAATTCTCCTAGTTGGAAGAGAAAATGTCTCTGTCCTGTTTCTGTTTCTGCTCGGAGAGCTCCCCTAAGGTTTAGCCCATCAAAATCACTAACTAGT